ATATATATATATATGTATATATATTATTTATTATTTTTCTTTTATCCAACAAATGTCACGGTTCGACAAGCCGAATAATTCACATGAAAATACGAAAAGCGCGCGCGCGCGCACAGAGAGAGAGAGAGAGAGAGAGAGAGAGAGAGAGAGAGAGAGAGAGATAACTTTTCCATCTATTTCTCCTCCTCCTCCTCCACCTCCTCGTCCTCCTTCTCTTCCTTCATCCTCGTGTATCAACATCCCTCTGCGATCATTCATGAACGATATTCGATTTCGATTGTTTAAATGTCGTACGCACGATACGTCATGATGCACCGGTTAGCGCGTTAATTCTACATTTTTTATTCGACATAATTACGCGCACAGATCTGACAGAATATATAGCATCGATTCGTAGACCATCAGATAAACGGATGGGAACGTGTAAGCAAAATTCAAAATTATTAATGTCCCGGCTAATTAATAAACATTGCTTTCGCCGAGCATTTCATATTTTACGCTAAGCTTGCTCTCGTCCTATTCTTCTCTGTACTGTATAGATAAAAGGAAAGGAAAAATGAGGGTAGAAACGAGAAGACTGGAAAAAGGCAATTACTAACGGTCCACAGAGCGTTGAGATTAATTAATCGGTTTGGCGAGCGCGTGAACGGCACCTCTGGCTAGTCACCTCGCGTAGGTAGGATTTAAATGTCCTCTCTCTTTGTCTATCCTTCCCTCTCTCTCTCTCTCTCCTCTCTTCTCTCTCTCTCTCTCTCTCTCTTTTTCTCTGTCTCGCTCTTTTCGCTAACAAATTATAGTAAAAGAGAGAAAGAGAAATAGAAAGAGTTACAAGGGAAGAAAAAGAGAAAAAAGAAAGAAATTGCTGAAAGAAAGTAACGACAAAAGTTAGTTTCTTCGAGTATCCTGGAGCACGCTCGTAGAAAGGACCAAGGTGAAAAGGGCTTTGAAGGAGCCGTTGACCTTGAACGGTGCGTTCTCCCGATCGTAGGTTCCGCGCGGGCTGCCCAAGCGACGGAACGTGCCGGTTTGATGCGATAAAGTAAATCGCATTTTCAAATAATCTCACTCTCTTTTTGTCTCTCTCTCTCTCTCTCTCTTTCTATATATATATATATATATATATATATATATATATATATATATATAAATATATATATATACATACATATATATATATATATTTCTTTTTATATCTAAGTTTCCTTATTTATCATGGTCCTCGTGATTCGTACCTTCTTAACGACGAAAACGACGTTTCCTCAATGATTCCGCGCTTTCTTATTTTATTAATTCTTTATCTCTCTTATTTTGTATCAGTCTTCAGAAACCAATTTATATAATTCAAATCTCTATTTTTCTCTATTTATCTATCCTATCTCTCGTTCGCTTTACTCTCTTTTTCTCTCTCTTTCTTTCTCTCTCTCTCTCTCTCTCTTTTGAGATACACGAAGAACACGCGAAGTATAAGCGGTAGAATGAAGGAGAGTAGAGAGGCCGACGCGCGACGCTGCGCGTCCCGCAGAATCACGATCCGCACTGGTACGCCATCGAGCGTTAGGGAAAGTTCGCTTACGCTCGCTCTCTCTCTCTCTCTCTCTCTCTCTCTCTCTCTCTCTCTTTCCCTCTTTCTATCTTTCTCTCTTTCTCTCTTTCTCTCACTCTCTCTCTCTCTCTCTCTCTCTTCTCCCACCCTTTACGCGAACACGACACAAGCGCACACGTACGCGCGCCGCTGGACTTCGCGCGCAGCAGCTGCACCCCCACCCTTAGAGAACGTTGCGCTTGGGGTGGGGATCAACCGATAGGGTGCGCACCTTTGCTTCGAGTAGTGCTAGAGCTTGAGTGAGACAGAGATATTGAAAGAAAGAATAAGAGAGATAGAATGTGAGCAGCCTCTCTTGCCGATTTTCTTCTTCCTTCCTTCCTTCCTTCCTTCCTTCCTTCCTTCCTTCCTTCTTTTCTCCCTTCTTCTTTTCCAACTCTCTCCTCTCTCTCTCTCTCTCTCTCTCTCTGTCTCTCTATCTATCTTCCTTTCTTTCTCTCTCTCTCCTTCTTTCTCTCCTATCATCTTTTTTTCACTTGCTATTCTTTTTTCTTCCTCATCCCTTCTTTTCCTTTTCTTCTTCTCTTTTCTTTCTTGTTTCTCTCTTCTCTCTCTCTCTCTCTCTCTCTCTCTCTCTCTCTCTCTCTCTCTCTCTTCCTCTCTTTTCTCTTCTTCGGATTACGACACGCTACATGACGATTTCGGACGAAAACATCGTCGAGTGGTTGCTCGAGACCTTGTCTGAAGGATCGCAAGGAAAGGCACCCTGAAGAAAATGCGCTGCCATGCCCGACGGGCAAAAAGGGATAAGCCCAAATGAAAAGTGAGGATACTTTACTGCTTACATTTTTGCGACAAAGATCTCACCCCGGCAACATTCGCCACAGGATATAATCCTAGGAAGGAGTGGAGAAAGGGTGAATCCTTGATATTTTCGAATATCATTTTTCACAGAGCGATAGCCCCTTACATTTTATTTCTTTCTTCTATAGTCATCGCTCTCTTTCTCTTATACTTTCTCTAAGTAATCGGTTTGTTTGTACCTTTTCTTTTTCCT